TGTTGTTATTGGACCAATCTCTCCCTAAAGTGTTCAAGTTGTGTTTGTGCTTTTTCTTTTTGCCTCAGTTGGTGCTTCCAAAATTCTTGCTTGAGGAAATTTTGACATAAAGTATGTAGTTAAAAATAATGACTTTTCTTTATTATTTTTTAATACATGCAGTGCTAATTTCCTAATTATTGTAGTTCCATTGTTTTGGCTTATGGTAAATGGCAGATGCAGACCTGCTGGCTACAAAGTTGGTCAAAGATTACAGCTGTTGGCTTATTAGATTTGTTGATGCCAAAGTTTGGTGCTCTCTTCGATGTTTGTTGCTGTTATAAATGGATGATTATCTTAAATGTTATCTTAGTTCATTTAAAAGGATGATTATCTGTAAGGATTACCTACCAAGGGTATTGTTATTTGAGTATATCAACAACCAAAACTTGGTTGTTAACAGATTAAATACATATATCTAACAAATTTCATGTTTTTTGTTTTTAGATTTGGCTGACATCATCACCATCTGTTCCTGAATCTGTTATTGTATTTGGTTTTTTAATCGTTTTTTCTTTGGTTTTTGACGTCATCATGAGTAGCATTTTTACTTTTTGTTCAATGTAACTAACAACAAATTGTCAAATATTATATATAATTTTATAATAAATATTATTATGTTTATAAACAAAAATTACAATTAAATATAAAAATTTATTTTTGTTTATGATATCTTTTATTTAATTTATCAAAAATATAATCTCAAATTCCCGTAATGTGGCTGCTAGCCGTGTTTGTTTAGCAACGTTGGCATTACAAACAAAATAATGTTTTATGTTGTTTTGAATTATATTTTTGTAACTAAATTTCTTCAAGTTTAAGAATTATCCAAAAATAATAAAGGTTTAAAGTTTAAGTGTAAATTGAAATTTTATTGTATAAAAGAGTTAATAATATAATATGGGAAATACAAAAAAGTATTTAGTAAAATCTAATGTCAATAAAAGTGAAAAAAAACTATCAACGATTATTGGAATAAACATTTTTTTATGGTAGATTCAAAATCATTCATGTTTGATATCTTATAATAATAGTAAATATTATACTGTAATAGAAGATTTCACAATATAAATGTGTTACAACTACAATGCAAAAAAAAAAAAAAAAAAAAAAAAAAAAAAAAAAAAAACCTATTTGAAGTGCACATCTAAAAACACACTAATCGTTAACGTTTAATGATGCTTCTCGATTATTTGAGAAAATTTTGAAATAGATATTCAAAAAATAAAACTAATCACAAGAATGTAGTATATTTTTATTATTAACAACGGAATTTTATTTTTAACACAAAACTGTCGGACGAAACCAAATTTATCATCCATTTTACAGAACATATCACTTTTTCAATATATATATTTTTTTAATTTTCATTTTATTCAACCACTACCAAATAATCGTATAATAAAAACCAGAGCAATAGATGACACAACATACTAAACTATTTAACCCCTACATCTATGTATCTAGCTAGAAACTATTCACCAAAAAGAACTATCCGACTAAATGACCGAAACGAACTATTCAACACGAGAAGGAAACTAATCGCCACATGAAAACTCTTTGCCGAAAGGACTAACAGGCGCCGCAGCATCGTGCGGGTACCTTACTAGTATATATATATATATATATATATATATATATATATATAAAGGCATAAAACAGAACATGGATTTGCAAAACTATAAACTATAGTTTGACCTCACTAGAGCTTCGTACTCTTTTTTATTCATCCATTACGAAAATACCACGTGGCTGTGTGTGTATGAGAGAGAGAGAGAGAGAGAGAGAGAGAGAGAGAGAGAGAGAGAGAGAGAGAGAGAGAGAGAGAGAGAGAGAGAGAGAGAGAGAGAGTTGAAATGGTCAGCTCAAATATTGTTATGTAAAGAGGGAGAAAAGAAAAGGGAGTGAATCTTTTTCTGTAGAATTTTGAATTGGTCAGCAAACACTTTCTTGCATTATTACTCAACTGTACCAGCTCAAAGTGTAAGTTCTATACATTCAGGGGTTGAAATTGAACTTCTTATAATAGTGTCAAGAAATTGCCAATTAAGTCCCTTAGTTTTATGCTTTCCTTTATTAGACACTGAATTAAAATCACGAAATCCTTCAACACTTATTTCGGATACTTCAAAACATATAATACAAGAATTTTTTGTCCACGGCACCCATTATAAAAGCAACACCGTTAGCAACAGAATCTAGAATCCCATTCAAAATAGGTAAGAAAGAGTTAGTTGTGTATGGTCATGTTGCACTGAAATGTGAAGCAGTTACTTCTTATAGAAAACATCAGGCATATGATTCATAAATCTATAAATGGGGGCAATCATTCCTCTACTCGTAGTAGAATGACTACATTAAAAACCATTTTTCCAATTACCACCTCTAATACCAAAACAAAATCCCGAAAAATACAACGTACTTTTATAATTGTATCAATTTAGCCAATGAAAACTATTGTAAATTTTCAATTTAATCATTTGATTATTATTATTTTTGTTATAGTAACCATTTAAAAAATTTCAATATGTAGATCGATAAAATAGTAAAACAACGTTATAATAGTTTAAAACTATATAAAATAAAGCATAACATTAGCATAAAAACAAGGAAAAAAACATTTTAGAGTCATTGATTACCACTATTAAAGAAATGGATTTGCTCTGCCATCATAATTTATTTTACGGGTTAATATAAAAAATAAACAACAAATTATGTGTTTTTTTTAAATGAACATTGTTATTAAAAAGTACCATAAATGGTAAGGAAATATTTGCTTTTTTCTCATAAATACTATTGATATAATAGTATTTTAGAACAAGGATAACATTTTCTTAAAACAATGGTAGTTAACCAAAAAACAAAAAAGACAAATTGTTTCCATTTATTACATTGATCCAAAAAGAAACTACAAAAAAATAGAATCTTATAGTGTACACGTGGTCTCTAAATGTAAGAACAGAAAGAGTTTGTGGGTGTTTCCATAAAGTTCGTAATCTAAAGGGGGTAAACATGTAAATTAATTTGATTTGAATCAGTCAGCAGCAATAGAATCAAAGACCAGTCCATTTCCGAAAGACAAAAAAAACACTTAACACGGTTTCTCAGTCAACCTTCAACATCATCTTCTCAGCTTTAAATCCTTAAAATCGTCTCATTCTCTCATCACCTTCTCAAACACACACACACCTCACCCCCCTCTCTCTCCTTCCCCTCTCATGAACAACTAGCATTTTGACTTTTCAATTTGTACATCTTGCATCATAACTTGTACATTACAGATATGGAAAATGTTTACATCATCAATGAGCTAACACAAGGGATGGAACTAGCTAGGCAGCTCAAAGCCATTCTGAGCTCAAACTGTTCCCCTGAATCAAAACACAATTTGATTCAGGGGATCATCGCTTCTTACAACAGAGCGCTGTTGATCATCAACAGCGCCCAGTCTGAAATCCCGGCACTAGCGGCACAACCGGTGTCAGTGTCGGTGCTCAGCCAGCCTGAATCGCCGGTTTCCATCGATGGAAGCCCACAAAGCGGGGATTTCAATCAAGGTTTTGATAATTTCCAAGACCAGAAAATCGTATCCAAGAAAAGGTATAAAAAAAATTATATATTTTTCGATTACTATGCTTTAGTAGTGTGTGTAATTTGGTGCAAAATTATAATCTTTTTTCTTGATTTATGTTGCAGAAAGGCAATGCTGACGTGGAAAAATCAAATCAAAATCTCGACTGACAATGGTTTGGAGGGAAACTCTGATGACGGTTATAGTTGGAGGAAGTATGGGCAAAAAGACATTTTGGGTGCTAAATTTCCTAGGTTAGACATTCTTTCTTTTTATCCTTTGACTTTTAGTGGGACCCACTTAATTTATATTTTTACCTAATTCTCAAATGATAGGATATATATGATATTCAAATGATAGGATATATATCATATGAGAAGGATTTTTTTGTTCTATTTTTTATAGGAAAAAAATAGTATAATTTTGATCATTCATCATTTTTCTTCTTTCTTCGTCTGTTCCATCAATTTTTGATGGAACAGAAGAATACAAAATTATATATTTTCTACTATTGACACTGTACACTGTATTTTATCCATTTTTTTGTGGGTCCTAACTCTATATATACAAATATCGATCATAGAATTCAAAAAATCATATTTTAATATCGGTTTTTTTATTAAATATTTACAGAAGCTATTATAGATGTACGTATCGATACGTTCATAATTGCATGGCAAGAAAACAAGTGCAAAGAACAGACGAAGACCCGACAGTTTTTGAAATCACATACAGAGGCAAGCACAGCTGCAACAACTCAGCCGCCACCGCCACCGCCACCACCGCCGCACATTCGGTGGTGCCGCCACAATCACCTGAAAACCACCAACCACCACCACCAAAATCCGGCGAGATGCTATCAAATCTTCGAGACAATCTCAGAGTCAGCACATCAGATTTGGACGCGATGGTTCCATGTTCATTTTCCTTCCCTTCATCATCATTTGGATGCATTGAAAACTACCAACAATTTCATTTCACAAGTGAAGTCGATCACAACTTTTCACAAGCTGCCAATTCCGGGTCTAACTACTTCCCGGAATGGAATCACGAATTCCATCATCACGATGATTCCAATCTCTCTGGAATCATTTCCACCACCACTTCAGCTACAAATTCCCCGTTGGCTTTCGCTGATTCGCACGATTTTAACCCAAATTTTCCGTTTAATAACTCGGGTTTTTTTATTTAATAGGTAACTCTTAAAAAAAATAAAGAAAAAAATATAGCATTAAATTTTGCAGATAGCATCAAATCAATAAACTATGTTAAGCATACAAAATAATGCTTGTACAAATAGAAATGTAAGATTTAAGATTAAGAGCCATTCAAGATCTAGAAATAATATATGGTATCACATTTGTTCACATTGAGGGGTATTTTGGTAATTTCATGTGGTAGGTTCGATGATTGCTTGTTCATGCCAAACTCCATTAAGATTTGATTGCCATAATTTCACTCTCCCATCACTCCCGGTGGTTGCCAGTGTCATTCCACTCATGTCCCATTCCATTTGCCACACCTAAGACAATAAATAACAACAGACTTTCATATATTTATTTAATATAATTTATAGAATTTTACTTTTATTTCATTCTATAATAAATAAATAAACAAAAGTACATTGCTAAAAGAATACATACCTGATTGTTATGGCAAGGGAATGTGGCAACCTTTTCAACTGAAAGCCTTCCATCAATATCAGGGTCTGAAGCCATTTGCCATATTGAAATGCTCTTTAAAGTTGCAACAGACATCAACTCATATGGTCTAATTGTTTACAAGTTTGAAAGAAACAAATTAGTAAAACAAGATTATAACTTTTTAAATTTTAAGATCTCATTTTTTTTATATAAGATAAAAACAAAGGGTAATTAATTACCTTCCAATGTTGGGAGCCCATGCCACAGCATATACTTGATCACCTTTATCATCATGGTCTGCTAATTCAGCAACTGGAAGCCATCTTTGATGATCTTGGTCAAACTCCCATACCTGAAAATATTGACCAATTAGAGAAAAAAAAAATAATCATTTTTCATAAAATGATTAGAATTACATGACTAAGTAAGCATACTTTGGGTGAATTTAGTTGTGGGGTATCTGAATTGAGACCCAATAGAAAACTTGCAGGAAATGTGTCGCTTCTTTGTGGGTTCCATGAAATAGATGCAGACAAACATGATGCTTTTCCGAATTTCGTTACTGAATCTGTAACATTCTGTAATTCAGCCTAGAAAAAGAAAAAAAAAAAAAAAAGATAAATGTTTCTGTAAGAACAAGAAGAAACAAGGAAAGAATAACAGAATCAGAATCACCTGAAGTTGCCAGTTCTTCAAGTCCATTGGATCTAAAATCTCATAGACTTTTACAATGCCATTTGAATAAGCAACTGTCTGGAATGGAGATGTAAAGTTTGATAGGGTTAAAGATTAAGGAGATAAGTTAACTGTAAATTTAACTGATTTTTCAATATGAATATTTGGACAGCAGAATACTTAACTCACCAATTTCAAACTTGAATGGGAGTTCCCAAATTGAGCATCTAGAACTTGATCCATGGATCCTCCAAAGGTTTTGCATTGCTTCCACTGAACAGGTTCACTGTCTAATGTAGATAAGGTTGAGAAAAACATTTTGTAAATAGTTTCAGCAAACAGGGGCAGTA